AAAACATCATGAACCATCATAAAGCATCATGAACCATCATAAAGCATCATGAACCACCATAAAGCATCATGAACCATCCTAAAGCATCATGAACCATCATAAGGCATCATGAACCATCATAAAGCATCATGAACCATCATAAAGCATCATGAACCATCACAAAGCATCATGAACCATCATAAAGCATCATGAACCATCATAAAGCATCATGAACCATCATAATGCATCATGAACCATCATAAAGCATCATGAACCATCATAAAGCATCATGAACCATCATAAAGCATCATGAACCATCATAAAGCACAATGAACCATCATAAAGCATCGTGAACCATCGTAAGGCATCATGAACCATCGTAAGGCATCATGAACCATCATAAAGCATCATGAACCATCATAAGGCATCATGAGCCATCCTAAAGCATCATGAACCATCATAAAGCATCATGAACCATCGTAAAGCATCATGAACCATCATAAAGCATCATGAACCACCATAAAGCATGGTGAACCATCATAAAACATCATGAACCATCATAAAGCATCATGAACCATCATAAAGCATCATGAACCATCCTAAAGCATCATGAACCACCATAAGGCATCATGAGCCATCCTAAAGCATCATGAACCATCATAAAGCATCATGAACCATCATAAAGCATCATGAACCATCATAAAGCATCATGAACCATCATAAAGCATGGTGAACCATCATAAAACATCATGAACCATCATAAAGCATCATGTACCATCATAAAGCATCATGAACCATCCTAAAGCATCATGAACCACCATAAAGCATTGTGAACCATCATAAAACATCATGAACCATCATAAAGCATCATGAACCATCATAAGCATGGTGAACCATCATAACACATCATGACCAATCATAAGCATCCTGACCATCATAAAGCATCATGTCACCATCATAAAAAGCATCATGAAACCACCCTAAAGCATTGTGAACCATCATAAAACTCATAACCATCATAAAGCTCATGACCATCATAAGCATCAATGAACATCCATACGCATCAGAGCCATCCTAAAGCATCATCAGCAAAGCCCAAAATTACTTTAACTGTCGTGTGATCCCACCATGACCTTTTTATAACATTTTTACTGTCAAATCTCTGCATTCATATCTGAAATATCTTCTGGCATTCTACTCTGCATTCTATCTGGCATATCTGCTGGCATTCTATCTGGCATATCTCATGGCATTTTATCTGGCATATCTTCTGACATTCTATCTGGCATATCTTCTGACATTCTTTCTGGCATATCTTCTGACATTCTTTCTGACATTCTTTCTGGCATTCTACCTGGCATATCTTCTGACATTCTATCTGACATCTTTTCTGACATTCTTCCCGTTGAGGTCCGGCAGTGCCCACTGCGATCTGGAAGTCGCGGTTGGGGTCCGGCAGTGCCCACTGGGATCTGGAGCTCGCGGTTGAGGTCCGGCAGTGCCCACTGGGATCTGGAGCTCGCGGTTGAGGTCCGGCAGTGCCCACTGCGACCTGCAACTCGCGGTTGAGGTCCGGCAGTGCCCACTGCGATCTGGAAGTCGCGGTTGAGGTCCGGCAGTGCCCACTGGGATCTGGAGCTCGCGGTGGAGGTCCGGCTGTGCCCACTGGGATCTGGACTGCGAGGAGGAGGCGGCGGGTGAGGAGGCGGAGGAGGCAGAGGAGGCGGAGGAGGAGGAGAACAGCTCTGTTTATCTAACAACCCTCACCTGGCAGGTGGGGAAAAAACCGCACAAATCCCATGTTTCGGCACACTTGGGATCTCCCAGAGGTACCTCCCTGCAGTCCGCAGCACCTGGAGCCTTTGCTCCGTGCGCTGCTTGGCCCCAAGACCTCGAAGGACGCGGCGCTGGAGACGGCGCTGGATCCGTGGGCGGAGGAGCTGCCGCGACTTGGCCCTGAATCAGAGATTTTTAAACGGTTTAAATATGTTTTAAATGGAGATTATCATATGGCACTGTGTCAAAACCTTGTACCCCTGGTGAACATCAAAATAGCTGGTAAATGGATGTTCATCCCCCTAAAAATGGATTGATCCATACCCATATATATATAATATAATCATGCATGTTTAAATATATTATATATATATGGCTTAATAGGAATGATCATGGGATAATCTATGGTTGAATAGGGATAAAACTGGGACAACATTGGAATGAATGGGATAGATATACCATGAAATGCCGTTAGTAATTAAAGGGACGATTGCGGCAATTGGATATTAATGGAATAATCATAGTTTCCATAGGAAAATCATAGGATATTAATGGCCAATATAGATCAACATAGGAGAAAGCGCTAGTTTCATATGGGTATGGTTTAAACAATGTCTAAACAGATCATCATGTCATACAATTAATATGGTTTGATAGGGATTATCGTTGAATATTAACGGATGTATATATCTATCTTACCGTGGATTTAACGGTTGAATATTAACGGATGTACCCTCCGGCAATGAACAAATATGCACAACTGCTCAGGTTGGTGTGTCCTATGCTCTCAAAATCTCGGCAACAAAAAAACTATCTTGATCATGGCTCATGGTATCTTTATCTGAATTCCGATTTTTCTTGGTATATTATTTATTTACATGTTGGTTCATGCTTGGGGTAAATGTTGGTGAATATGCCATACATGGAGCAGTGGTGATTTACAAATAAGTAATACTGTACAGTAAGTAATATAATGTAACTCTATGTAACCCCCAACAAGGTAGAAGTTGGATGAAGTTGGTAACATCAAACATATTCCGAAAGGTGTCGGGCTGGGAAATACCCGCTATCCGGATTTCGTGGTTTTGGGCTGGCGAGATCTTCGAGCCATGTCTGCAACAGACCATGATTCCGATGGGGATCCAACCCACGGCTGAGACCACACCGGCCACGATTCCAAGGATAAGAGGAACTGGCTTGATTGAATCCTATGATATACATATGGATCATATGGACAGAAGTTTGGCTCCGGGACACACTTTCCTGGCCCCTTATTACTTTGAGTTTCAACATATGTGAAAATTACATCATTCCAAAACATACGATGAGTTGAGATACAATTTCTTTGCATTGTTTCTGGATGTTCAACGGTTTTTTCAGGACTTTCCCTGGGATTTTCCCCTGGATCAAATGGCTCAACTGAGGTCCCGCTGGCGCGTAGCCCTGGGTGGTGCACAGTTGGATCCCGCCATGCGCGTGGCGGAGCTTTCGGTGGAGGACCTTGTGAAGCTGTGCAACGCGCTGGAGCGGCTGCGAGGAACGCTGAAAAGTGGTGCATTTTCTGTGTTTTTTTTCAGGATGATCCGCGATTTGTCTGATTTTTTTGGAGATTTTGGGAAATTGGATCAAATTGAAGATTTTAATACAGGGATTGTTGTTTCTTGCGAGAGTATAGAAGTGTTTTTGTTATTTTTTCATATTTTTTCGCGAAGGGAAATCTACAATTTGTTGGGGACTATACGGTAGCTTAAAGATCTTGAAGTTGCAGCCATCAGGGTTTTGTCACCAAAAGAAGGATGTCTCCATGACAATCCCATAGATACTGAATCATGGTCTTCCATGACTTGAATGATTTGGAGGTACCCGCATGTTCAGCAACCTCCATACATTATTGTAATATGTAGATTATATATACGTACAAATATCATTAGTCATCAGCAATAATCATTAATAATCAACAAACATGATATTTCACCATTATTATTTTTGACCATTTGAAGAAAACCATACCCATAGGATCCATGGTGCTGGTATATATGCTAACATAAAGGGGGTATCTTGATGGTAAATGTTACCATATTTAGCATACATGGATCCTATGTGTTAGTAATCAGCAATAATCATTAATAATCAATAAACATGATATTTCACCATTATTATTATTGACCATTTGAAGAAAACCATACCCATAGGATCCATGGTGCTGGTATATATGCTAACATAAAGGGGGTATATTGATGGTAAATGTTACCATATATAGCATACATGGATCCTATGGGTTAGTAATCAGCAATAATCATTAATAATCAACAAACATGATATTTCACCATTATTATTATTGACCATTTGAACAAAACCAAATAGGTCAACGTTCCATTCCCCCAGGCCGCGGTTGTTTTTTCCTGTCCAGGTGTCATCCTACATCACGCCGCCCCATCAGCTGCGGGTGAAGATGCGTCCGGGCAAGAGCCACGAGGATCTCTTCGAGGCGACAGCTGACCATGGTGTGTTTAATGGTGTTTAATGAGGGTTTAATGGTGTTTTAAAGGGGATTTAATGCTGTTTAATTGGGATTTAATGGTGTTGAAAGGGGATTCAATGATGATTAATGGGATTTAATGGTGTTTAATGGGGATTTAATGGTGATTAAAGGGGATTCAATGATGCTTAATGGTGATTAACTATGGTTTATGGTAGATATCTATATATAGTTAAAAATTTGTGAGTGCGGTTTATAAAGCAACTTATGCTGCATATTTTTGTTATAATGTGGGAAAACCAATGCCATATACCTACCATGACTGGGGATGGTAAGCATACAACTCATAAAGATGGTGATGACTTGGGGACGGGTTTATAAAGTGAGTTTACCTCATTAAAGACAGACCAATCAGTTGGGTGATTTTGAGGTCCCCCCATTTGGCCAAGCCATCTCGACATGTTTCGATATATTGAAATTGCATGGTTTTGGATGCATGGGACTCTGGCACACTCTGGCACAGATTGGTTGATGATGTGGCTATTCTGTCACGACACATCTTCCAAATCCATGTTTGAGATAAGAAGCATATTTATTTTGTTTACATAGATCTCCAGGAATGCGAATGGAAATGCAGAGGGTGGGTTCATGAAGTTGGGGCAACATTACCACCGAGAAGCAACACTTTGGTGCGTGGCTGTGGGATACCTTAACCATAGGTTTTGCCAGTTTCCCAGGAAATAGATTAGTTATGAATACGTAGTTATGACTAGTTTACCTAGCTCTGATTCTGATGTTGGCTGTCCCCAACTTTTCAGCAATCACCTTTGGATACCTTCTGTGAATCTTTGCCGCTAGCAGAAACATCAGATGACCTCTGTGAAATATCTGTGATTCCAGCAGTTGACCTCTGCATGATCAGCTCCAAACCGGGTTTTTCCAGGGTAAAGCGTCGAAGAAAAGCCACAAGAGCGGCTCGTGGTGGGACCCAGTGGGACCCAGGAGACCCGGTGGCTGGCTGCGGCTCGTGTTCATCACGACTCAGCAGTACTAAAAATCACGGCACGTGCGGGTTGTGTAAAAAGATCTTGGACCTAAAACTTGCATCGACGTAGTAGCATGATGTAGTAACGTAGTATGTTGATTTCGATTTTTGGTGCATTTTTTTTGCAAAGTTCTTGAGGGGAAACAGGAAAGTGATGGATGGTGATGGTATTTTCATCCCCTGGCTACCTTCAGACTCTTGCCAAGGTCCATCATTGGTGCCTTGCAGTCTGGGCCCATTTCTGCAGGGACAACCAGGGACTCTGTTGGAGGGTGGAGACTCACATAGCTGGTTTGTTGGGGATTCTGAATCATTCCGAATGATTATACATGAATTATATGTGAATGATTCTGAATGATTCTGCGACCCATGAAACGAGAATCCTCCCAACCGAACCAGAAAAAACAACAGAATGACATATTGTGAACACACACAGAGGTTTCTTAGAATCTGAAAATGAATATCATGCTGCGAGGTCTTTGCTCGGCGGTGAGGGAGCAGGCAATGTCGTGAAGGCCAGGACTTTAAGGACTCTGACATCTGACATCTGACATCTGACATGGAAGCCAGACGTGGGGGGTTCTTAACAGGGTACGCCAAAACCATGGGTTTCAATATTAAAATGGTCGAATGACTTGCATGATTTGGGGTACCCCTATTTCAGGAAACCTCCACATGACCATATCCAGCAAAATCATTTGAATGTGATGTTCTGAATCATTTTCCAGGCCAATTCTTGGCGGGGCTCGTTGTTGAGATTTGATATACGTGTGATTGCATGCCTGTGCCCCCCAGTTATAAGTTGGTTTGTAAACCCATTGTAGATAAATCTACCATAACACCAACATACGCGAGGTTTAACCTATAGTAACCCTCAAAACGATAGAAAAGTAATTCATCACCACTTGAGTCAATTTGATATGTTTGATTTCATCTTTCTATTTTGTTGGAGATTGCTATAACCTGCCCATAAACCCACTTAGTTATCTTTCTGTCCATTGTTCGGCTCCAGCATTGAGGCATCCGATGGAGAGTGGAAACCCCAGCACTGAGGATGGGTCAATAACTATCAAACCAGCTGGTAAATGGGGGATAAACTTCATTAAACTTCAACTTACCTGCTATTTTGGTTTTGTCTACCCGAAAAAACTAGGTAACTAGCCAGGCTTTTGACCTAGGGTATCTTCCCTTGGCATTTCAAAGCCATCTAAAATCATCTAAACTTCGCACTTCTGGGATCCAGCGGATCCAGGGAATTGGATCTGTGCCAAGGGAAACCATCCACATCTTCAGTGTGCTGCCCTCAGGACGTACCAAGTTGGCCAAGTTGGCACACGAAACCGTGGGTTTTGATGCATTTGGCACACATGTCGTAGTGAAAACTTTCTTGTTTCAAGCATTTCGTCACCGTCTTGTGGTTCCTGTGGTCTGCTCTTTCATGCCGTTTCACCACAGGTTTCTCTCATCCTTGTCCATGTTCACTCGACCACGCATGGAGGTTTCCTAAAATGGGGGATCCCCAAAACCATATAGGTTTCAACAACACGAAAATGGTCATCCATGACTTGGATGATGTGATTCTCTCAGGTGGCCAGTGGACACCTCTATGAGAAGCTCTTGGGCATCATGATCCTCTCTGCGTGGAAGCCAGGACCACTGACCCAACCATGACCACTGGTTGCGTGGTTCCCGACGATTCGGATATCGGATCTATACCATGGCCATTTTGAGAGGGAAAATGATGGTAAACCTGGTTTTGGGGGGGTACTACCGATTTTTCGGACCTCATTTAAGGGAGGATTGGATGGATGTTGGGATACCGTTTTTCCGGTGCAACATGCCACACTCATCCTCTTAGAGTGAGATAATCTGACTCCGACAACCGAGTTTTGACGTGACATTGGTGACATCTTGGTTTGTTGCGGAGGAATCCTGAAATCAACGAGAAAAAACAATTAAAAACCTAAAAGGTCCATGAGAAAAGAGCCTTAGTTTTGGTCCCTTCTCAAATCATGTTTGGATCATGGTGGATCCGTGTGATCCTGTTTGGCCAGCATCATGATGTGGCATCCGCTGTCTCCAATTGAATCCTTAGGTCAGGAACAACACCCAGAACCCGCTGCACTTTTGGTTCATTGACAACTTCCTGTCGCCCAAGTTCAAGGATGCCATTGGGTTTGTCTGAGGGTATCACCAAAATTTCTTTATTTGGGAATATCTGATTGCCAGACGCACCCTTTTTTTTTTTGGAGACTGAGGAGACTTGATGTGAGACTTGCCTCAAGCAATTTGCCAGGAGGTTTCTAGAGAGGTAATTAGTCGCCAAAGAATTTTGCCTTAGCTACCCTCTGGTAATTTAACATAGCTATTGAAAATCACCATTTTTAATGGGAAAATCCACTATTAATGGTCATTTTCAATAGCTATTTTGACATAACCAGAGGCTAAATTTCCAAGGGCTTTCCGGTGACCGTGACTTTTCTCCGTTTTCTCCAACACAAAGTCTCCAATTCAGTGCTTGGTGGTTTCACAACTTCATCCATCCTACTGGAAATAAAATCCCGACGTGCTAGGCCAAAAAGCCACATCCACCAGATTGACGTGCTGGGTGGTCCCTAACAGTCACTAACCTTAGTGATAACATGGTGATAACCTTAGTGATAACCCAGTTACATAGAAGTTCTAACTTGGATAACTCATGATAACTCCACGACTCTACGGGATTTACGATCGCTGCAGGCATTCATTCCAATGATGGCCCAGAGGCGCTGGCCGGGCGATGGCATGCGGGCGATGGCTGGATTGGCTGGTGATTTCATACAGTATGTTTTATTGTTTGTAAGAAATGTGCTACCATTTAATATGTTATAAAATATGTTGTATTATATGTGTTTGTTTTGATGTTTATTATATGTACGTATGTCAATGTGTTCAACCATTCAAGTGTTGAGAGTACAACATGTTGATATATGTTACTTGTAGTTGATCTATCTTGATCTATGTTGATATATTGTTGAGATATCGCTGATTCTGCATTATTTATTCCCACCATTTATGTCAAGCAACAATCTTCAACAGATTCCTGCGACAGGTACGACTTCAAGTATGACTTTGTGACCTACAAGTGGCCTTCTTGGCTGAATCCCCAAAGTAAGCAGCTCAGGACGGAAAGTATAAAGCGAGGATTCCAACTGTTTGCATATTCCATCATTGTCCATCATATTCCTTCTTTGGCCTGTCTCCTTTACGGTTGTTCTTGAGAAAACATTATAATATATATACATATATAATACATATATTGTGGTAAACCAAATGATAACTGTTCGTATTTTAAACATATCCAATGTCGAAATAGAGTTTATTTGAAAAGATCCGAAAGGATCGGAAAATTATCTTTATCTAATGATTATCTGATTATCTAATGTATAGGTATTTGTTTCTTTCTTAGAATAAGTAATCCCATGGGCAGAAATGAAAAAGATCCACTGCACTCCGCATTTTTTTGCGGCTCTGCGTTGGTTGAGGACACCAGGACACCTAATGTCTTTAGTTACAGCTCAACCACAGCCCCTGGCCTCCAAGGTGAAAAGCAGCGGTTAATTTGGGCCTACAAGATCCTCTTCTTAGATGTGCCCTTGCTTTTGATGCCTTGCAGTTGACAGGAAACCATTGGTTGTTTGACTGGTTTTGGCAGGTATTGTTGTTATCACCAAACATGAGGTTGACGGTTGATACATATTTCTGGATCAAAGAGGGATCTTCTCATGATTTCGTCATCCTGTTTCTGGTGCTTGTGATCCTGGTTCTGGTCGATGTTTTTTGTGCCGTGTTGCTGGGGTGGTTTGAAGCGGTGAGTCCTTGACCAACCAGGTGCTCTTTCCACAAGACGTGCCCAAGATCATTTTCATCGATGCGGATCAGGTGCCTAGATGCAGCTGAGGGAGTTATGTCATGGCCGCTCTGAAGGGTTGCCCCAACTTGCCAATGGTGGTCCCTTTGGGCACCACTGTCTCGAACCAAGAAGATTGGTTTCTAGGTGTCTCACAGCGGCATTTTTCGTCGCTGAGTCTTCGATTTCATACAATGATCAGCCCTGGCTGCGGGGCGAATCGGACAGAAGACAAGGGGGCTATGCATTTCCGACAGGTTGCGCATGGATGTCCATGGTTGTTGGTTAAACACGCGGAAAGTCACATGTCATCAGAACTTCAGGAACCATGTATGTATTTTGTATAGATACTAAATTATATATATATTGTAGTATATTATATATATATACGTGTATACATTTCAAATGAAAATGATTAGAACTGTTGCAGCATAGTTAGCTTGCTGGTTTTCCTCTTAAGCTACAGAATCCAAAAAAAAAGCATCCATTTACATAGACAATCCATCCATCGTTTCTCTAAGGGCTTCAACCGTTTCATGCCTCACCTCCAGCCGACAGGTGGTGCGGGCGGATGTGAAGGAGCTCTGGGACTTGGATCTGCAGGTGCATCGTGAAACCTCGTGAAACCGGAGCATCAGCGGGGGAAGCCACAGGCTAAAAATATCTGAATGGTAGAAATGTGAAAAAAAAGGTGATAATATATCTAATATGTGATATGATTTTATATGATATGAAACTATATCATGATATATAATGTGATATGAATCTGTATACATCTATGCTACTCCATACGTAGTATAGGATGATGTTCTTTTTGCGGCAAGACATGAAGACATGGCCCACAGATTGGCCAATCATTGGTTCCCTTTCGTTCCAAGTTTGTTCATTCATTCCACCGAATGAAAAACCATATTTAACCATGTTATTAACCATGTTAAACCATGATAATCCAGGTTTAACCATGATGCCATGGTAACCACCTTGGTTGTTTGAATCTGGTTCAACGTGCTTGAACCTTGAACCTTCCGTTTTACTGGCAATGTCTGAATTCAATGATAAACTGTCCCAGGAATCCATCAGCTGGGAGTATGTTACGCTATCCCAACTTGGGGGTTCTATCCTATGATACACTGATACAGCATGATTATCCCACTGATTCATGTATTCGCTCCATAGTCGGATATCATTCTCCCATAATTTACTGTGTTTCTTCTAATATTGTCCCATATACCCAGTGGTAAACTAACATAGCTATGGAAAATGGCCCATTTATAGATTGTGTTCCTATTAAAAATGTTGATTTTCCATAGCTATGTTAAATTACCAGAGGGTATGTAATTATTGAGTTTACCCTGTCTGCCGTATATCTATGGTTTGACCCTTTTCACCTCCCATGCCTCAGGGAAAAGTCTATGGTTTCGTGCCGATGGGTGATTCCAATCCTGACACCGAGGCAACGGCAAGTTACAATGCTGTGGGCTTTGTTCATTTTGTTGTTTTTGCATCGTGGCAGATTGAACATGTTGGAGGCTGTTACTGTATTATATATCTTAAGATATCGTGTATATATATATACATATAATGTGATGTATGGTTTATGTTTGCTATAACCGAATGATGGGCATTGAATTTCGGTTTCAAAACTTCATATTTCGTCCTTTCCTTTCATAGTCCATGGAGCTACGCATTCATGTGGTCGTTGCCCTGGGCTTAGTGGATTCAGTTGTGAGTTCCTTGATGCCAGGGCTTTCGCTTTTGGAAGCAAGGCTATTGGAAAAGCCATTTGGGTACCATGCCGTTGGGGGCCCTGGGCACCGGGCACATCATGCTGTTTGCTGTAGTGGGAAGCTCCATTTACAAAGTCCGACTTTATGATTTCAAACATTTCGAGGTTGGCTGGTGTCCTTTGTTTCTTCACAGCGCAGGATACATGTCTCAGAGATCTTCAAAGAACTGAGACTAGCTGGATATAGAGGCATCCTTTGGATCCTTTCACTGCACACCTTTTCTGGCGAATCCAGTCTGTGGAAGTCAGATTGGACTAGAGCCGTGTGCTGTTGGAAGATTTATGAATGTCCCAGTCCGGCAGCAAAATTGTTGGTTCAGTAGTAAGGAACCCGTCCCCCAAGGTAATTTTAGATAGCTATGGAACATGGCCATTCATAGATAGATGATGTTTCTCTTTTAATTGGCTGGATTTTCCTTGTTATTTTACTATCTTATGAAATGACCAGAGGGATCTAGAGGGTATATCTCATTATTTCCCATTCTATATAATGCCATTATCATCGCATTATAATCCCTATAAATTCCTATAAATCCCTATAATTCCCTATAAAATATATTAAAACATGACCAGAGGCTTTCCCCCAGATCCGCTGCCCCAGGTATCACATCTCTGCCCTCTTTGTGGTTGACCTGGTGGAGGACGGACACGTCGTCAATGTCGTGAATCAAAACCACGCGAACGAAATTTAGGGCCTATGAACATATTACAAGTCAAGAGGATCATTGGGAAGTCAATATCTACATATATATATATATATATAGATGATTATATATACATAGATATACATAATTATATATATATACACATTATATACATGATTATAGTTTCCAACTGATTTTTGGACTTAAACTGCAGCAAAACGCATTTTTGTGGCCTGCATCGACCTGGCAGCCCTGATTCCAAAAGCGTGCTGAAAAAACCAAAGTGTTTGTTCGAAAATAGGGGATGCATGATGAACATTGAATGGTACTAGTTAGTTTACTTAGTTTACTTGGGATACTGTATCACTTCTGGTCAACATTTTTATTTATCAAAAATGATCTTGAATCATGATTACTGCAAAAGTCATTCCCATGCTGTTCGAAAATGATCTTCAATCATGATCACTCAATAGCAACATGATCATTTTTCCCCAAAAAAAAATGGTGTCAACATGTTCTTCATGAATGATCAACATTTACCCTCTGGTTATGACTAACATAGCCATGGGAAATGGCCCATTTCTAGATGGTTTACCTATTAAAAATTGTGATTTTCCATGGCGATGTTAGTCATCACCAGATGGTAATTGGGAAAACACGATCAAGCCATGTGGATTCTACGGCCAGTTCCGGCGGACCTCCACTGGGGAGACCCTGCGAGGCGTCTACAACCAGGCGGATAAGGATGGGTTTGGTATATATATGGTGTAGGTATATATAAATATAGTGGTGGTTAGGTAACATACGCCATTATATAATATTATATATATAATACAGTATGTAGTGTTAGGTGTAGGTATGTTTTTTTGTGGTATGATATGTTATAAATATATGGTTTGTGAGCAAAAAGGGCTCAGAAGTGGTTCTTAAAGCTAACCTAAAGAGATGTTTCAAGTTTCCAGCTGAGTGCCGTGCCGTGAAGCCCTTGTTGTTCTTCGTCCCTTTGTTCACGTCTCCAGTTGAGCCGCGATCCCAATTCCCTGGCGAACTTGGATCAGGACCTGGTGGACCGCAGGTCATGACTTAGATCCCCAGCATGTTTTTTTCGGTGCTGCGTTTAAGATGAGAGGATGGGATTACCCTCTGGTAATTTAACATAGCTATGGAAAATCACCATTTTTAATGGGAAAACTCACTATAAATGGCCATTTTCAATAGCTATGTTAGTTTACCAGAGGGTAGTTCTTGAATTTCGCTGGGGATGTTTTTTGGGAGCGTGGTGACCTGAGTCACTGAGCGTCCTATATTTGTGGAAGCCCGAAACATGAAACATGGCAATGGAAAGTCCATTGTGCATAGATGATTTTCCCTATGAAATATAGGGGCTTCGCCCAAGCATGAGGACACCGGGAGGGTACACCACTATCCCATGACGGATCATATAGGATCCATGTATGCTATATATGGTAACGTTTACCATCAATATACCCCAAATGTTAGCATATATACCAGCACCATGGATCCTATATGATTAGACTATGTAAACCACTCAACATCTTTCAAATGTGGTCACCGTGGTTGCCAGGACCTACCAAACTTCGCGCAGCATCAGGTACCGATCTTCACCTTGCTGGGGAACCAAGGGTCCAGGCGACTCAGGTGACGACATGGACATGTTCATGGAGTGCTGTATAAGGCTATAGCATAGTCTTCACCTTTAAGATTTCCGGACAAACCAAAATGATTAACGTTCATGGTTGTGGTGCTTTTAGATGGTTTTAGCATATGATTTACATTTCAATCAGAATCATGGGATGATGATCCTGTTGATTGCTGCTTGAGAGGTATAAAGTTTGAAACCACCAAAATGATCAAAATGTGATAGTTTGGCCAGAATTGGATTTTATGTTTCCATATTTTTGGTTGGTAGTTCCATGTTTTCATTTCAATGGGATAATGTAAAATTCACTGAGACCGACAGAACTTCTTTGGAAAAAAAGTGAATGAACTGACATCAGTCCTTGAGTACTTGACGATACTTGACGATACTTGATGTTTGAACCATGTATAAAAGTGGTCTTTTCTCCTTAGTTCGATAATCTATCTTTATGACCTTTACCCTCTGGTAATTTAACATAGCTATTGAAAATGACCATTTATAGTGAGCCCATGAAAAATGGTGATTTTCCATAGCTATGTTAGTTTACCAGAGGGTAGTTGCTTGTCAACTCTCAGCAACATGTCCTGAGCCGAGGCCCAGCGAATGGCTTTGGTGCGAAACCTGGTGTTCACAGGAGCAAAACAGCTGTTGGGCGCTTGGTCAGATCTGAGGGGTTACTTTTTCTTCAAACTAAAAACAAGTTACAGTAGTTGTCATCTCCATAATATACATCATTTTTTTTATGATATAGAAGTATGATATGGCTGTGTTTTATTTTAACGCGTGCAGTTTTTAGTAAAGGCAGGAAGTTCGATTTGTGCGAATCATACCCCCGAATCATACCCCCGAATCATACCCCGAATCATACCCCCGAATCATACCCCCGAATCATACCCCCGAATCATACCCCGAATCATACCCCCGAATCATACCCCCGAATCATACCCCAAAAAATCACGATTATGAATGTTTCTTTTGGGATCGTTTGGGATTGCATTGGCCTCACTTGTTATAATGGACCTGACAAGCTAATTGACCAGTGTTGGCCAGACCCGATGATCCCTGGCTGCCTTCACATACCTTCAGGGAGTGGCGAATCTTCTCCACGCGCACAGAGTCTCATCATTATCCCTAAGCTGGCTGGCTAGGTGGCTGGCTCAGTTGCTGCTGCTGCTGCTTGGGTGGCTGGCTATAGGGCTGGCTAGTTGCAGCTGGCTGGCTGCGTGGCTGGCTGCTTGCTGTGTTGCTGATGAGGCTGATGAGCGGGATGACTCTGGCTGCGGCTGGCTGGCTGGCTGGCTGGCAACCAAACCAAAAATCCGTCCAAGAGGAACATAAGCCTAAGCGTAGCTGAGCTAAAGGTACATGAGAAGAACATCCAGAAGAGACGCCGGCAGGCCGGCGGATATAAATCATAGATGTGCATTTAAATCTTCACATTCTTCATATTCAGGTCCTGCCCAAGGTCGTCTGGCAGGTCCAGCCATTGCAGCCATTGAGTAGCAATCGTAGTAGGTTGACGGTGGGAAAAAGAGACTCAGGCAACAAAGCTTCCTGAATTCAAAAAAGATGGGTTTCCGAATCATACCCCGAATCATACCCGAATCATACATCAAACTTCCCAATTCTGAACCTTGGTACATTTGCAAGATCAGAACTTGTGTTTTGTGAGCTCTTTTCTTTGCAACCATTCGCCACGGGCTACACTACGCCTCCTGCTGCTTCTGAGAAAAATCCGACAACACCACCCTGCAGCGGCATCCTGCAATGGCACCAACATGCCAACTCCAAAGCGCACACACCACTTTAACTGCAGCACCTTGAAGCAGCACCCTGCAGCGGCACCACCAGCCAGCTCCAGAGCAGACACGCCACTCTAACAGCTGCACCCTGCAGCGTGCAGCAGCACCCTTCACTAGCACCCTTGCAGCACGAGTTGGGTACAGTACGTACCCTCCTTGCAGCACCCTGAAGCATCACCCCTTGCAGCAGCACCAGCAGGCTAGCTAGCTCGACAGCACCCTCAAGCAGCACCTTCCACACGCATCCGCTCACCAGCATGCCCGCTCCAAAGTTGAAAGCACACACCACTCTGACAGCAGCACCTTCAAACATCATCCTCAGGCAGCACCTGCAGCAGCACCCTGAGCGCCACCAGCATCGCTCCAAACTGTACACACCACTCTGACAGCAAGCAACACCCTGCACCAGCACCTTGCAGCGGCACTCCAACGGCACCACGATGCCCGCTCCAAAGCGAGCACACCACTCTGACAGCAGCACGCACAGCGTCAACAGCATGCCAGCTCCAGAGCGCTCCACGTATGGTATAATTACCACCAGTTGAAACATTTTCGGGGTAAGCGTGGGTAAATAACTATACGCGGAGGATGCAGGGAAACACTAAATCAAGGTCCGCGAATCATACCCACGAATCATACCCACGAATCATACCCCGAATCATACCCACGAATCATACCCCCTAGTCAAACTTCCCGGGTTGGACACGGTATTTTGAGACATACCCATATACAGATATACATGAACATCATCATTAATTTTTAGTATAAAGGCCATGGCTAATCCATCTGCAACACTTTTTCAGTTTTTCAAGGGATCATCCCCCTGGTCGTTTCTCACGTGAACGACAACGACGTGGTCCGGATCCAGGAGAGCAAAGACTTTGCCAAGACCATTGACCTTTGTCAAAACCCATTGACCAAGGAGACCTGCCGGAGGCATGGCTGTTTGTAGCTGGAGTGTATTATATAATATTAATATTAATATTATTTAATATTAATATATATATATATATTTATATATATATATATATATTTATATGGCCACTTTAATGGGGAAACTGATGCTTAACATTTTGGAGATAGCTTACGTTCATCTATTGTTCAATATTTTTGGTGGGATCAATTGTTTCAGTCTATTGTTTTCTTGTTGTTGGCAGCTAAAAAACACATGGTTTGACCATCTCCAGTTCAACGAACACGTCGGATGAAACCACGAACCTGAAATGGAGGATGCTTTTAGTCATAGATGGAGATGTTGTGTTGCTACTTTTAGTTATTCCTACGTTGATTTCTGGACTTCTGAATGATCAAAGGATACACTTTTTGGGTATCTTGCTTTGACTTGCGGTGTTGCTATTACTGTTGAAGTGGGGAAACTCATAGTTGATCAAAATCAGCAGAAACATGAATATCACAGTGAGATTGTGAACATGGAATAGTCGCGCTCTGAAACAAGAGCCAATTCATTCTTGTTATGCTTTGTTTGCTCATATTTTCTCTAGAAGATTGACTTTGGCTGCTTAGATTGTCAAAGGAGCCCAAGATTGTGATGGCCAAACGCATTATCTCTGAGTGGCAGACGTGGCTTGGATTATACTGGAAAGTCAATGATTTTGGCAGGCAGTGATGTGGCGCAAATCCTTACCCTTTATGGGGTCATTGTAGAACGTGTAGGTATTTTTTGGGATGTACTGTCCTTCCCAGGACAGGATTTCCATCGGCGATCCCAGGTTCCACAACGAGGTCCAAGCGCTGCAGGAAGAGCATGACAACATGTCGGCGGGAAATCCTGCTGTGGCTGGAAAGGCCCAAGATGGGGTGAAGCCTTGAAAGTGCTGCAAGATATTGTGGTTGATGAATGTAAAGTATGGGGAACCATGTATCAACTTGTGTTTTCGAGTGCTCAAGTCTTGGTTATGAGATGTCCGGAGTCAATTCTTGAATCTACTGCAGCCGCATGTTTGCTACAAGTCATGTTCAAAATGCACCGTCTTCGGATCAATTTCCCAGGCTCCATTCACTCCTAGGAAGTTGTCCTTGGTCCAGGCAGAGCTTTGAGTTTTCGTCCTCACAGAACTGACGTTGATGGTCTACGTTGTGAAGGATCTTATCTTCGTTTCGTGCAGTTGGATGAATGGATGAGGTTCCAGGTTCAGGCTTGTGGTTTGGTGGATCGGCCTGATCGGCTCACCCTGTAGCTGCAACCAAGTGGCACAGAGCATAGCCATAGTTTGCCATACTCAAAAAAGAATGCTGACCGCTGGCCATACTTTGTTTTGATGTATAATTTGTATCCATTGGTCAATCATCATCTAATCTAAGTTCTTTTGGCTTGTCACCCACAATCTGCCGCTGATTTCATCTTATGGTCTTATGGGTATACGTCGCTATGGCGCAAAATCACCTAATCGGCGGGTCCATTAGTGCCCCAAGTCTCAGCCACCCGCGAATGATATAATCCCATGTATAATAATCCTCCTATGGTGTACCTCAAGAGAATGAGGGGGCAGGACCCCCTTTAAAAAAAATATATAAAGAATCCAGCAAATCTGAAAATAAAATGGGGTCAGACCCCAGCATTTTATTTTTTGAGGGGCCCAACCCATCAAGTTAACTGACAGAGATAGCATGATAGCAAAGATGCACAGCTGTGAACGGTCTGATCATTCTGTGAAACCTTCCAGAGATTTGGAATCACTTGGACATTATGGAGCATATGAAACTGAAACAGCAGTTGTTGTCGATCCAATTTGATTCTAGCAGGAGTGTGTGCTGTGAAAAAAATAATTATGCCCTCTCATTTTATTGGCATGTTGTTCTTAGGCCCCCGCATTTTATTATATATTTTTAGGGGCTCCACCCCCTGGAACCACACGGGGCTTATAATATATATATATATATACACGTATATACACGTATATATTATATTATGATATATTGTTAATATATATATACATATATTATGATATATTGTTATAATATCTTATATTACAATATATGATATTATATTTTACTATATTATATTTTATTATAGTATATGATATGATATTATGTTTTATTATATTATGTTACATTATGTTTTATTATTTTATATTATGTTATATTATATTTTATTATATTATAGTTTATTATATTATGTTATATTATATTATGTAATATTATATTTTATTGTATTACATTATGTTATATTATGTTATATTATATTATCTTATATTTTATTATATATGATATATATATATATATAGCATATTACAGCGCCATTTTTCCTTGGTTGTCATATCCAAATTTTTATAGTCACTAGTTGCTGCACATCCCGCCCTGGTGCTTTGGGCTCGAAGGAGCAGGTGACCGCCGGTGACTGCCGCGATCTGCCGCGGCACGGTAGAAGGGTGAAGAGACGGGCTATCGAGTTAGTCGATTGGGAAGCCATTGGCTTTTCTCCCCTGACTGCGGTATGCATGGGTTATAACATCTGCACAAATTATAGCGAGGACAGCCGAGGCAACGAGGCAGGTTGCAGGAATTAGCGAGGTCAGCCCTTAATTTGCTCATCAGAATTAGCCGACCTCGACGAGGTAGCATTGCATTGGTTCTGTTGCATGCTTGGGTTTGGCTAGAAAAACTTTTTTGGGGGCCAGAGGCCGGTCAGCAGGCAAGGAAGGAAAAAAAACTTTTCAGGCCCCAAAAAGTTTTATTTTCTATCGCCAGAGGCCGGTCAGCAGGCAAGGAAAGAAAAAAAAACTTTTCAGGCCCCAAAAAGTTATATTTTCTATCGCCAGAGGCCGGTCAGCAGGCAAGGAAGGAAAAAAAACTTTTCAGGCCCCAAAAAGTTTTATTTTCTATCGCCAGAGGCCGGTCAGCAGGCAAGGAAGGAAAAAAACTTTTCAGGCCCCAAAAAGTTTTATTTTCTATCGCCAGAGGCCGGTCAGCAGGCAAGGAAGGAAAAACAACTTTTCACGCCCCAAAAAGTTTTATTTTCTATCGCCAGAGGCCGGTCAGCAGGCCAGGAAGGAAAAACAACTTTTCAGGCCCCAAAAAGTTTTATTTTCTATCGCCGGAGGCCGGTCAGCAGGCAAGGAAGAAAAAAAACTTTTCAGGCCCCAAAAAGTTTTATTTTCTATCGCCAGAGGCCGGTCAGCAGGCAAGGAAGGAAAAAAAACTTTTCAGGCCCCAAAAAGTTTTATTTTCTATCGCCAGAGGCCGGTCAGCAGGCAAGGAAGGAAAAAAAACTTTTCAGGCCCCAAAAAGTTTTATTTTCTATCGCCAGAGGCCGGTCAGCAGGCAAGGAAGGAAAAAAAACTTTTCAGGCCCCAAAAAGTTTTATTTTCTATCGCAGAGGCCGGTCAGCAGGCAAGGAAGGAAAAAAACTTTTCAGGCCCCAAAAAGTTTTATTTTCTATCGCCAGAGGCCGGTCAGCAGGCAAGGAAGGAAAAGAAAACTTTTCAGGCCCCAAAAAGTTTTATTTTCTATCGCCAGAGGCCGGTCAGCAGGCAAGGAAGGAAAAACAACTTTTCAGGCCCCAAAAAGTTTTATTTTCTATCGCCAGAGGCCCGCTTCGTGGGTTGACGGCTGCAGAAGCAGTAGGATTCAGAGTTGCTCCAGAAGAGCATTGCATCTCTGCGATAATGTCAGAGATGTCACCACCCAAGCGCAAGAAGCGCAAAGACCGATCAGACTCAGATTTAAAAATCCCTGCGAGAGACCGTGGATCGTGGAAAAAAACTTTTCGGAAACTGAAAAGTTTTTTTTCCTTCGGGTTGGACCCTGGAAAGAAGGCCCACAAGCTACTTTCTTCCTTCGAATTAACGAGGTAAAGCCTTAATTTGCACCTGCAAATTACCGAACGAGGACAGTTATCATGGGGAACAAATTAAGACACGAGGGAGACGAGGTAAGAATTAAAGTAATTTGGCCAGTAACATGTTGTATCCATAGATGTCCTTTTCCCATTGGTTGGTTGATTAGTAAAGGGCTTTGTTTACCCCTTTAACAACAAGTAAATGATGATAGATGGTATACCAAACCAACCCCTCTATTTTTACCAAAAGGACATTATTGGTTGTATCCCCCATAACTGGGTAACCGGGATTAGAAACTTGGTGAGTTTCTTGACTTAGAAACCATGACCCAATGGACCAGTCAACTAATTCACCCATCCAGGTGGTCTCCAAAGCATCTGTGGATCCCATTTGATCCCGGAAGTGGGCCAATTGACTGAATTTGATTAGCGTTTTTTTTGACAGTAACTATATATGTTCCATCCTTGAACATAAGATGATGATCTGCAAATGCCTTCATATTTTTGGGATGCGGTAAAGCCACCATCAAACTAAAATGGGCCGGGTCCGAGTCCATGAAGTTTTTGCAATTTGTTAGACTCCTGAGTGACTCGAGAGTGATCCATGGAGTGCTTGGGGACTGGCAGCCAAAGACCTTGCGCCCGCAAAAGGTCTTTTGCGCTGGGTGTCTTATGGCACCTCCCACAATGAGGGACCCACTTAAAATGCAGCAACATGTTTTTTTCCTAAAGAATCTTATTTGGTGTTAGGCTCTGCTTTTCTATATGAATCAATTTAATAATATTTATATTATCTCTTTATAGCAGAAATGCAAACGTGTCATGCAGCACTTGCCCGCAACACTGGATGATGCCTGTTGCAGTTGCCTGTTTCATTTATGCCTTGAGACTTGAGACAATGACAGTGAGAACTCAACATGGAAGGTTTTGTGTATTGCTTTGTTCCGCATCTTATGTTTTTTTAATGGTTGGAAATTCTTGAAACAACCATTTTGTAACAGGCTCCAACTTAGATTGTAAGCATTGTAAGGTAAGGATACCGTTTGCAAATCCTCTCCAGCGAGATCTGTCTATCGAATTGCTGCTGCTCCATATGAATGTTGCGAGACATACATAAATAGGCAAGACATGGCCAACTCATGAAAACAGAAGCCGATCAAACTGGTCAACTATGATTCCAGGATATCTTCACAGCTTTGGATGAGTCAATGGAGACCACTGGCCACTGGAGAAGTGGCTGATCAGTGAGACCAGTGATATCCATTGATTTTCATTTGAAAAGAAGGAAAACGGATGGAAAAAGGTTGTTCACTAGCTCTTAGCTGCCAAATTTTCATGACGCAACATCCAGCTTTGTGATGCTCCCATGGCCTTTTCGACAGGTCAGCGGCCAGATCTTGTGGAGGGTGGTGATGAACGGATTGCTGAGTTGCAGTGCATTCGAGCTGATAGGAATGAGCAATCTGAGTATGTCCTAAATCCATCTAAAACTAAATCCATCTAATTCCTACATGTATATATATATATATAGATACTGGATGATACTGGTACATGATGAATGAATATATGAAATCCTACATTGTTACAACATGTTAAAGCTTGTGTCCTAAATCCATCTAAAATCTAAATCCATCTAAATCCTATATAAAGATTCAAGATACTGGATGATACTGATACATGATGAATGAATACATGAAATCCAACAAGGATTTCAATGGATTTCATATATTCATTGTTACAACATGTTAAAACTTGTGACAATTTAGCGTACAGATAAATAGAAACGATGCATGGCATACACTCCTTGGTGGGAATTTCCATGAAACCTGCTGCTTCACGTAGTCAAAGATACTCAAAGCTTTTATTTGTGTTGCCCAGGAATGTCCAACTACATTCCACTGTATCACAATTATGGTTGGTTTACTCATATATATATATATTTTATAAATGCATATCAGCCCATAGTTTTCATTATTGCTAGTATTACCACTATTGGGTGGATAGGATTTATTCTGGAAATATATTTCCATGAATAAACTGCCAGACTATTACATCCCATGAATATCCCGCAGTTATATCTCATTATATCACTTTAGAAAAACGTGTGTTTTCTCTTGATTTCCGTAGATTATCCCATTATTGTATGTCACCATTGTGTTTTCCAATGACCATTATAGCACTTGTCTCAACGTACTATTTAGGTTCCTTTAATCAGCCATTGCATTATCTTAGCAATTCTATCCGATTGCCTGGTTTTTCCCACATGGTTGATTTAATGGATTGGTTTACGGGAAAAAAACTACAGGGAAACATTGTTGTTATCATCAAATTGGTTGGGGGTTCCTGTAAAGTTTCCCTTAAACCAATCCATCGAAATTCAACCTCCAGTCCAAGTACCATGCCTTCAGCTTTGGATGATCCAATCATATCCAATCTATGTTATATATGTATATATAATTATTCATATAATATATATATATATATACATATATATCTATATATATATATACAAATATATGTATATATATATATGTGGCCTTAGTAAACCAATCCAATGACTGGCCAAATCTTCCGCTGGTCAGGGCACTTGCTGCCGCCACCTTTGGGAGGCCCCGGAAGCTGCGGCCGCGGCCAATGGCCGCCGCCTCCGCCGCCGCGGGAGCCGTCGCCCAGCAGCGACTTGGCACTTGACCAACGGTTAAAGATGTTAAAGGATGGATTTAACTATGAAAAAATGGGATATATAGGGATTTAATCCAGCATAACCATCAAACACATTCATTTAACCAACATGATGCCTGCGACTTTACCCATTACACAATGAGGATTTAGCCATCAGAAATGTGAAAAGCAATCATGTTTTTTAGGTATTTTAACATTAAGAAATGAACGTTGACATACTTCAATCGCTTGAAAATGACAGCATGGCCCCTTGCACCTGAACCGCCACCAGCCGCAAGAGATTTTGCAGGGCATCCTGATGTCCAATTCCACTCAATAGAATCTACATGACAGAATTGTTTGGAAACAATGGTGATCAGAAGACTATCTAAAACATAAAAGGCCAGAGTTGGGCAGCCTCCGTATACTGAATTGGAACTGCCCAGTTCTTGGGATGTCGGACTACAGCAAACAATGAATCAACCCAGTTTCTGGGGAATGACTATTGTTGTAGACTATTAAGGAGACAGGACCTAACTTGGGTATGTGTAAGGTTTCGGATGCCCTGTCGCCAGAATGGCTGGTATATGTGGATGTTCATCAGACCATTCCAATGCATAGCTGCATAGCATTCCCCCGTCAGGATGTTAAATGAATTAAAATGAGATCCCCATTTACGGCTTAAATATCATCCATTCCATTCCCATACTATCTATAATATAATATCTCTCACTCAAGTGTTGCCAATATTTTGAATAGTGACATCATGACATCCATGTTTATTGTTCAATTTTGCTCATTGAACCACCATTTTTTTCGATTCTTCAACATAGAAACCCACTTAAACCCACCTCTTAAAGTCTTAAACATTTAATTTCCATTCTCCACCAGGACATCTCCTCACCTCCCCAGCCGCACCGCCCGGCTATGGTGCTTACGGCTTCGGCTGGGAGCGCCGCCCCACGTCGCCGTTGCGGTCTCCGGAGCCGCCCAGGCGGATCCCGTCGCCAGAGCGGCGGATCTCGCCACCGCGGTCGCCGCCGCGGTCGCCGCCGCGGCCGCCCTCACCGCCCCGGGAGCCTTCGCCACGGCGCCGCGATCGGGGCTCGCCCAAGGCGGCGAAGCTGCCAAGGAATTGGCCTGAGGTGCAGGGGAAGGGGTGTGGTCACTGTATGTCACTGTGGTAAACCTTGGTGTTCTTTTTAGATGCACAGTTTGTAAATAGTTTTTTTCTTGAAAGGTAGTTCTTATACCGATATGATGGGGTTTTAACGATTATAAGGATTGGTATAGAATTAATTAAGCACTAAAGAATCACTGGTGATACTTGTATCATGGTCCATCCAAAGAATGGTGATCCCCGATGGACTGATGTTGAGTGATTTTTGGAGCTGGGTTGAAACCACAAGCTGCTGAAGTATGGGTAGATAATCGTAGATGTGATGACTAGTGGGATGATGATGATGAAGATGATGATGAAGATGACGATGACGATGATGATGACGATGATGATGATGATGACGATGATGATGACGATGATGATGACGATGACGATGACGATGATGATGACGATGACGATGATG